GAAGAGATACAGATAATTCAGTCTAAAATTGGTAGGAAAAGATTGTGAAATTGTTGAAGAAGTTTGTTGGAACTGAAGGGAGTTTGGAATGATCTGTGTGATTCAAGTGAAAATAAATTCATGGCTATAAAATTCAAGTTGATTGAAAGGTTAAGATAAAATTCAAGATGAAGATGTTGTAATTTTATTGTGCAATTTGAATGATAATTTTGGTTAAATTGTATGTGTGGTTTAAATGAATATTGTGAATGGTTTTTACTATTAATGAAATGCAAATTATATGAACTTGGAAATGATGTGGTCCCATGAATCAACTAAAATGGAATAGCTAAATATGGTTCAAAAGTAGCACTTTTTGTCAACAACTGTAATGATTATATATATCACTAGGGGTGTTCGCGGTTCGGTTTAGATCAGTTTTAAGGCAAATACTCATTTGATTTAAAGATAAATTTATTTTCGGTTTGATTCGGTTCGGTTTTAGATGATATATTAAAAAAATCTCATCTAATACGATCCAATTTAATGCGAATTAATTTGGATCGGTTTTTGAATATCCAAAATACAAATTATATTTTTATTAATAGTACAAAAATACGAATAAATCATAAGTTTGATATAATATATAACATATAGTATATTAAAGTTAATATTACAAAATGAGATTGATCGATTATGGTTGAAATAATAAAAATAAATAAATTAAACTAAGATAATAAATATTATTAAAAAAATAACTATAATCTAATAATAAATTTATGTAGAATATCATACTAATAAAAAATAAATAAATATAAAAATATATACATAGGCTAAGTTTGATTTGGATCAGTTTAGATTGGTTTTAAAAAATCAATATGAAATTCAATCCGAACCGAATGGTTTTTATAAAATGACATTCAAACACATCCAATAAAACTGGATTTTTTGCGATTTTTAATTTTTTTGGATCGGTTTGTGGTTTTTATTTGGATTGGTTTGAATTTGAACACTCCTATATATCACTACATTTTAACACAATTATAACATACCTAAAGGGAATGTTATAACTTTATATGTTAATTTTTTTGGTCTTGTTTGTGACAATTAAACATGTAACAAAAACAATCAAGAGTATAAGGTTTTAATGATATCATATTAAAATGGAATAAATTTGCATAACAAACAATATCCCATTAACTTAGAGATTGTCATGTATAACATCTTTTGAAGCTTAACAACAAAGCCATTTAGATTGTCATGTATGACATGTATATATTTACTTAGATTTCATGTTTTAAATTCCAAGACATATAGATATATGCCAAAACCTAAACATGCAAGTTGAATAAAATAGTTAACAATAACAACTTATAAATCTTAAACATATTCATTAACAACTCGCAGAAACACATTTATTAATTGTTTCAACAAAAAAATTCAACAGAATCAATAAAATAAATTTCAAAACAGAAACATATATCCAATATAAACAAAGCACAACTTAACATAAACAATAAAATTGTTTTGATGAAAGTTATGGATAAAAAAAACATCTATTTGAGGTTATAATTATTTCTCCTTTTTAATCTCTTTGATTAGCTTGTCGGAGGAAAGTTGGATACTCTCAATATCTTCTAATCCATCAGTTAAAGATCTCTTCGATGGAGTCAACCCATCGTTTCCATTTGTAGGCTCACAATCAGCAGATGTAGAGAAAGATTCTTGGAATCATAATTCAGAAACATAAAGTAGTTTAGATGAGTTTAAAAGCTGGTGGAAATGAATTACATAAAGACTTATTAGTTCCTCTTGTGGTGAAGGATCTGGTGTTAACAACTTCGATGTATGCTGCCAAGACAAGGTGATATTAAGACGAATGCTTCAATATAAATTACGTACATAATGTTATACAATAAAGAAGTCTACAAAGATTACCTCATCAGGTTTGAAATAGTCCCTTATTTTTTACGGGACTCTTTATCATCTTTGAAGCCAATGACAAAAAGTCTGCCATATTTTTGTTGGAAAACAACTCTAATGGCCAACTCTTTTTTCAATATAGCATCGAGTTCGTAAGGAAATTCAAGGGGATTATCTTCACCGGCCTAAATTAATAACAACTACTACATTAATATCAAACTCAAATGCAATAACTCATAAATAAAATGTCAATAGAAACCTCTATCAACTCCATTTTCATTTTAATATCACACTTTCCAATTAACTTCGCACAACCGTCATCCCAAAAAATGAACTTTGCTTTAAATTTCCCATCTATTGCCATAACTTCAAGCTTATACCTAAATCAATGGTGATGGTATACAATAACAGATGACATATGCAGAATCAATATTAAGAACAACTTATTATACACAATACCTTGGGACAACTTCAGCTGTTATGTGATTCGAATAACATATAAGCTTTCCATCTTTCACACACACTTTTTTGCACTTAACACATCCATCATAATACCATCATATTTAGCCAGCCTCAAATTTCTCCAATATAGTAATGGTCACACATGTTATCTTCTATGTTATCAACAATAGAAACAAAGGTTAAACATAAAAGCCTATGCACAAACAAACTATTGACGAAAACATGTCTTACATGCTGAAGACTTGTTATTTCAGCGAGACTTAATACTTCTCCTTTCCATAGAAACTTATCGAACTCAGAATACTGTGAACTTTGTGAAGCTTAAACTTGGAGTTGAAGAAGATAACAAAGGCAAATCATCTTTAAGACCGACATGTAGCAAAGAAATATAATGCATAAATGTAAATACTATGAATCTGAATTCAACAATATATACACAAATATACATTGCATTAATAAAACTAAGCTACCTTTCTTTTAGCTTATTAGTATCGACAATGGTAACATCATTTATTGTTAACTTAGTGTCGTTTCAAACGTTAGATACACTCAACGGAAAACCTCCTGCAGTAGTAGAATCACATTTTTGTTATTAAAGTTAACAATTGAATGATAAAAGCATGTATCTTGATATTATGAAATCAGATAATAATACAAATAGTAAAAAGCAAAACCTTGAGCCTCCTTTATCCTTATATTATGCAGTAGAATAATTACAATATCATCTTCCTTGTAACTCTTATAATAATCATAAAAATGTATAGCAAGTTGACCCCATAAAGTACATCACACCAAAGATTTGTTGCAGACAATGTCATATAAGTAAAACAAATTAGATAAATTCAGATATCATAATATTATAAATCGAAGTAATATGTTGTTACCATGGATAAACATACTTCATACCTTATATAAATTATTGTAAAAATAATCTTGTTCTTATTACTATCAACAATCATTTGGGTCTGACAAATTTTGGTAACTCCCCAACATCTAACCAAACATTGTATGTTAAACGATGATTAGAATCTGACACACTTTAAGAATATACAATAAAAATAACATTAAATATACAATTAACTTACCAGCTAATAGATTAGATTGAAACCTTCCCTCAACTATATCTTTTAAACCAAGTATGTTGAGATAATTTACAGGAATGTCTGGAATTTCTGATTTCTTAACCAAAGTTGAACCACAAAATACCAATTTATAACCATGAATAGTCGATTTAAAAAGAGAAATCATTATTGAAAACCTTGAAATTATGCATAATGTAAGCACTTCCAACAACAAGTACACCCTTGAACTTCGAAACCAAATGAGGTGGGACAACAACTTGAATCATATCACGCAAAAAATTGAAATATAAAGCATTTACATTAACTAATGATTTGTTGTAAAGATAATCAAACAAATATGACCAATTTATCATACCTTTGAATCAATCAAAACTATTTCAAAGTCCTGTTTGTTGGAGGCACTTGCCATAAACCATAGATGCTTACATCGAAAGACTATCTTCCACAAATCCTTTGAGTCATTGATATCCTTGAGAGCTTCAACAGGCCGAACTAAAGATGGAATAAGTCACTTATAACCTTGAAATCAAAAAAGTTTAGACATTTTATCAAAAGTGTACACTTGGATTTTCCAAATACTTTAACTTTTATATATTTATATTAGATGGTATAAATTAAGAAAAAATTATGAATATTTTTAAAATATTATAGCATTTTAATAAAATATTTATTCATTTTATATCATAAAATCTGTTAAAATATTTGTCCGTGTTTCTTGTGTATTTTAAATTTACACTAATCATGGACATGGATATACATTTATTTTTGAATTAAATTTTAATAAAATATTTAATTTTTAAAAATCATTGAAAATAAATTAAGAAAATCGAAATCTTAGGAAACAAATCAGGGCACATGGAATCAAATCGGTGAAAATACAACCTTATAAAAAAGGTGGAAAAAGATTGAATCGAGATAAATTTTGTCAAGACTAAATCTGATTTGCTAAAGATTTTAAAACATACGTCTGATGTATAGTCTATTATAGACTTATTTTAATGTCTGAGTCGAACATTTTCGAATGTCTGATTGATCTAATAACCTATTTAAAAGTTTATTTTATTTGAATACTTATAAATAAAGAATTTAATTAATATTAAATAAACTTAAAAAATTAAAAAAAATAAATAAGATAAATATTTATTTTCATTGATTCATTTGAGCTTACCTATTATCATAAGTTTTGTGATATTATTTATTCAAAAAATTTATGAAAATAATTTATAATAAGAATTTTATGACATGGTTCAAAAAAATTTTCAACTTATTTTCATAAATTTTTCAAGATAATTGAGCTTTATTTTTCGTATTTTAATTTAAAATATAAATCCAATATAATAATAATAATAGATCGGCGTAATATAATAATAATAGGCAACAAATTCATTAACTAAGAATTCACTAACAAACTGTAGCAAGCAATCTGGACCATTTCTGGTCAAACAAGCCAAGGCACCGAAACAGAAAATGAAGAAGAAATTATCATCACATCTTAGTTAAGCATGTGAACAGCTAACAAAATACACAGTGAATTAAAAGAACGATTCAACGATCCTAGTAACAAAAGACCCATATACTGTAAAACCAGATTTGAAATTGTTTGAAATGATAAAGGTAACTCAGATCCAATCCAGAACCTCGATTTTCTTCCATGTCTACCCAAAATCTATCACCGACGCTTGAAGAACAAGACCACCAGCAACGACGAAATCGCTTGAACCAACCGCCGATGAGACGAAACATGGCAAATAGAAGAGAGAAACACCATGGTTAGAGTAACTAAGGATTAAACTATACTAACTATATTTGGTGGAAAGTTATACATAACCAATAGATGGATTTAAATAGAAATAGGTTAGAAATTCTTAACTTTAAGGTTTATTAGTTTTTAGGTATTAGCCTAGTTCTCTCTTTTTAGTGTATCTATTTTTCGCTTTTATATTATGGGTTAAAGTTTCCTTTTATTAATTATTTTTTTTAAATAATAGATATAAAATAATAAATAGAGAGATAAAAATGTAAATTAAGAAGCAGAGAGTGAAATAATAAAATAGAAAAAAAATAGAGAGATTGAAGATTAATATCCGTAGCAAGTCAGGAAATCCATCTTTCTTTCTCAGGTCAGAGATTAATACATGTAACATGTCAGAACAACTATCTCAGCGACCGACAATTTCAAGTTCCAGATTAATACCTGTAACAAGCCAAGAGAACTATCTGTGAACAGTTGATTTGTAGATTAACACATGAAATCAGACAAAAAAACTATCTAATAACCAGTCAAGAGAACTACCTGTGGACGACTAACTGTGGATTAACACCTGTAACCAGCCAGGAGAACTATCTACATAAACAGATTAAAGATTAATACCTGTAGCAAGCCAGGAAAACTATATTTCTTTCTCAGGTCAGAGATTAATATTTGTAACATGCAAGGACAACTATCTCAGCGACCTACAAATTTCAAGTTCCAGATTAATACCTGTAACAAGCCAGGAGAACTATCTGTGAACAATTGATTTGTAGATTAACACCTGAAACCAGACAGGACAACTATCTGTGAACAACTGACTTGTAGATCAATACCTGAAACCAGACAGGAAAACTATCTACACGACCAGGTGAAACAGCCCTACATAGGTTTCTTCTGATACATTTCCAGATAGCAGTTAATTCTATTTTCCCCAGCAAGTTACTGTGAAGCCTGGATTTCAACCAGAAAACAGCAAACTTTCATCTCTCCAGAGATAACTCTTCAGCAGAGCCTTGGACAACTAAAGCTCCTAGACTCTATTCCCCACAGAGTTTTCCTCAAGCAGGAGAACAACAGAAACCCATATTCCCCAGTGGATTCCTCCTCGGACAGCAGGAACAGAAATCCCCAAAGGGACCATGTGTGAAATCAGCATCTACTTTGGAGGGCATCTTTAAGCCCATCTCCGACGACTCTCTGTCATCTTATCCAAATGGCTTCTGTAAGCTCATTCCCGCCATCATCAACAATCAGTGTTATCTCATGCGAGTGCAAATTTCTGGGCACTCTAGTGTTCAATCATCTTCCACCTTCAGATCACGAAAGACAGACAAACTAATTTACATCTTCAGGTTTAAGAAGATTGAACAGGGGCAGTTGTTGTACCCCAAAATTCGCTCTCTCATGTTTTCCAAGGTTTTCTCTTACATGGGTGGCCACAAACACTTGATTAAAGAAAAATAAAAAATTTTGAAGATAAAGGAGTCTTTGATTGACATTGGGACAAGGTGCCTTCGATTGGCATTTGGGCAGGAGTCTTCGATTGGCCTTGGGACAAGGTCTTTCGATTGGCATTTTAACAAGGTCCTTCAATTGCCATCTGAACAGGATGTCTTTTGATTGACATCTGGACAAGGAGTTTCGATTGAGCATCTAAAAACCTTCGATCAAGCTTTGGTCCCTCAACTTCGATTAAGCGTTGGACCCTCTTCGATACAAGCTTGACTCACTGTTCTTCGATTGGGCATTTGACACTCTTCAATGCAAGCTTCGATTGGGTTCTGCCCCCCCCCCCCTTCGATCAAGCTTTGACTGGCCAGGTTGAAGTCTTTTGATTGGTTTAGTTGGTTAGTGTCAGAGCCAATTGAAGGACAAGGCAAATAGGGACTTAATCGAAGGCCACAATGGTGAGGCCTGAGGCAACTCGAAATAAAGTGAGGAGGCTCATACAAAGCCTTCGATTGATAGAGAGCTGAAGCAACCTTTGACCAGTTAAAAAGGGAGAGTTGATGTTTCGGTTGGTTTGAGTTGAAAGAAATCCATTCGAAGGAAGTAATAATAGGCCAATCGAAGAGCAACACTGGAGGGCATTTGAAGGAGCCAAATGTGTCCAGGTTCATTCAAATTCAAAAAGGGACAAGAAACCATGTCTTTTGCAACATTTCAAAATGGTATTCATGGCCTTAAAACACCAACTTAATGGATGTTTATTACTTTGCCCTCTTGTCCCCTCCATCCCCTCTATATAAAGAACACACTAGCAAGCTCTAAAAAAGCTGGACACAACTGGAGGGAGAGTCGCACGAAATTAAAAACACATTCTTGGAGGTTTCCTGAAGCTTTTCTAATCATCCCCAACCCTTAAGCAAGTATCTCCATATCCAGAAGTGCCAAATCGAAGCAATCCTTAAACAAGGGTACCCATGCCTAAAACCACAGATTCATACATCACCATTAGTAAGAATGGGTAAAAAGATCAAACTTACATTTGCATGACATATTAGCATTTGTAGTTCATTCGATCTGTATTCAAGATTAAGGACCTGGGTTTGACACCCAGGTCTGCATTTTGCTTTGTTTCTAACACTTGCTGCAGATATAGCCTGAATAGACCCAACGCGTGCAAGATCGAAAGACCTGGGTTTGATACCCGGTTCCTGCATCTTTATTTGGCTAATATTTGTCTTGCAGAATCAAATCGAAAGGCAACATCCATCCCTGGATCGAAAAGTAAAGCATCCCTCCTTGGATCAAAAAAATCATATTCCTCTGTGGATCGAAAAGCCCATTTTTCCTCTGGATTGAAAGGCACCTTCTCTGGATCAAAGCCTCCCTTTTTCTCCCTAGATCTAAGGATGCCCCCTTGTATTTTTATTTTTGTTTTCATTGACTTCTTTTTATTTCAACTTTAAATCAAAAAATCACAAAAAAAAAAAAATATTAGGCTTGTATTTTTCTAATTAAGTTAATTTTGTAAACAAATTAATTAATTATTTTAACATTTTCTTGAAATTAAAATTAAATAGACTTAGGTTGTATTTTCTTAAAATAAAACAAAACAAACAAAAAGATTTCTTTTCCTTAGGATTTAGGCGTCCCTCTTAATTCGTTTATACATTTATTTACTTTCGCATTTTATTTCATCTTATTGCAATTGCTTCCTAGTTTGTAATAGTAACTAGGACTTTACTTTTTGCATTTCTATAATGTACCTCTCACAAAGTCATGTAATAGCGTAGGATTTGCATTCCCGCACTTTATATTTCGACACTTTATATATATATATATATATATATATATATATATATATATATATATATATATATATATATATATATATATATATATATATATATATATATATATATATATATATATATATATATATATATATATATATATATTAACTGCTAGTAACTAGGATTGCATGACAAGACTAATAACAAAATGTTAGCAACCTAACACAAAAGACAAAAATAACTGAACATAACACACATTGCACATATACACCTCTAGGGTACCTCACTTTAGTTGCCTTCGGAAATAAAACAGTCATGTCCCTCGAAAAGGAGATGCTTTAGCAAAGACCCATAAATCAAAAAGATCATAGTCCCTCGATGACCCTACAGTTTCCTTCGTAACTGTACGTCCCTTCGAATGTCCCTCATACATCCAACGATATGGCTACCTACTCACTAATAGTAGGATAGCACTGTCTAAAGGATAGGAGGAAAAGAACTACCTTTTCGAGTCAAAGTAGATAGCTGTTAGATGCTTGCTCACAACAAAAAAGATCATTTTCACACATACACTTTCAATTGAAACATTTTCAAAAGTCAAAGCCCTTTGTACGCATCCTTATAGAGACGATAATCATTACAAAGGTACTTTTCAAAACCGCTTTCAAAAACATCTTCCACAAACAAACACTTCTTTAAACTATTTTCAAAACCAACACTTTGTACGCATTCTTATAGAGACGAGAATCATTACAAAGATATTTTTTTTCAAAATATTTTCAAACCCACAGCACAAAGCACGAGGTATCTGAAAAATGAGCTAAGTATTTAAGAGCCTGTAGAAAACTATGGATGGAAAGGGTGCTAACACCTTCCCTTTCCATAATCTACCCTACTTACTCAAAAAACTCTCGAAAGAGGTCTTTTTCTGTTCTTTTCACCCTTTCCTTAATTTGGATAAAAGAAAAGTCGGTGGCGACTCTTGCTTACCGCGACATTTGTGAACACAAAATGCAAAACTAGTATTAAACGGTCGGTTCTGCCACCGTATCACAATCTTGAAACCCTAGCCATATTTTGTCTCACTCTCTCACTCAAAGTTTTTGTTCGTAAGCAGCTAGCATTGTGACCAAAAGCGACCTGTTCGTGTGGACTGAGTAGAGGCATTGTTTTTCATCAACGCTCATGATCACATCATTGAAGGTCTCAATCACCATAAGAGGTAATATTTTTAATCACTGACCATGCCCATTCGTAAGAATCACTAAAGGAAAATTTAAATTTCTGCTGCGTATTGGATCGTAATTTTCCTTTAGTGGTATCACAGCCATTTACGAAACCATGGATCTGATAGTTGTTTATTTTTTGTATGTTTTGTATTAATTGGATTAAAACATAGAATGAATTGAATAATAACTGAGTAAATTAGACTTTGGCATCATGGTGTGTATGATTTGGACGAATCGATGTTGACTATGCTTCAGAATCCAACACTAGTATGGTGAAGCAGCGATACATCGGTTGTCCATAAGTTACACTAATATGATCGATCAACTTTATATATGATATAAATAATTCCGGTGCAAAGATGGTATATTGGATATACTGTTTTGATTTTTTCCATTCAATCACATAATGATTGTTATTCTTTTGAAAGATCATTGTTCATTCGCTTGGGAATTGGACGTTCGTATAGTGAAGCAATGGCATATTGATTGATCATACTGATTATCAATTGAGTTGTGTTTGAC